TTTTTTTTGAGACCAAGTCTTGTTCTGTCACCCAGGCTGGAGTACAGTGGCGCGATCTCGGCTCACTGCAATCTCTGCCTCCCAGGTTCATGCCATTCTCCCACCTCAGCCTCCCAAGTAGCTGGGACTACAGGTGCCTGCCACCACACCCGGCTAATTTTGTTTTTATATTTTTAGTAGACACAGGGTTTCACCATGTTGGCCAGGATAGTCTCAATCTCCTGACCTCGTGATCCGCCCGCCTCGGCCTCCCAAAGTGCTGGGATTACAGGCATAAGCCACTGTGCCCGGCCATCTTGCACTTTGAATGGCTCTTTTACCCATGTCTGAGTTGGTATGAGATACTAGTCATACAGAAAATAATGGTCCAATGACTTACGCAGATCTTCTGCATATTTATATAGTTTATTATTCCACATTAAAAAATGGCATTTGTTAATATTATCACTGGTATCAATACAAATGGGAAGCTACTAAGTTCCTGGTGGAGATATATTTTTCCCAAATTTCAATTTTCACTCAAACACTTGAATTTTATCTTTGGCAACATATATTGTCAGTTATTTTCCTTGAGGGAACATGCTCACTCTGTTCATTTTCCAAAAAAGCCTGCCAAATACCAAAGCCTAAATAACCATAGTCATTCTTTCAAATAAAAATAGCACTCCACGAAAAAACTGGCAGTTTAGCCTGCAACTCAAATGACGGCACAAGTTCTTTTCTTCGAGACACCGTAGTATTTTGATTTATTTTATGTCTACTTTATGTTTTCTCACCCAGAATATTTAAAAAGACGTATCAAAATGTAATAAAATTTATAATTCTTAATGTTAAAGCCTCATCAAGGACATGCTTAATGGCAAACCATTTAAAAAAAAAAAAAAAATAAAACACTGCATGCAAATAGAACATTACCAGAATGGCTTAATGCCCCTGCCCTGATTTACATACTAATGAACCAATGGTTTCACCCACCATTGTTTTTGTACCATAAGTGCAAACATTAACACAATGTACAAAATTCAAATAATATCTAGTATTACAAAAATTAGTTTTGATCTCATGGACATCCTGAAAGGATCTCAGAATCCCCAGAGGTCCATGAATCAAGCTTTTAGAAGCACTGGTATAATTACGCAGTCAAGAGATACATCCAACACAAGATTTCATTTGAGATGACTACTGTCTCCTGATTTCGAACTCAAATGATTCCCAACTCATTACACAGACAATGCTTGATTTAAACTCTTTTTTTTTTTTTGAGACACAGTCACACTCTGTCACCTGTGCTGGAGTGCAATAGTGTGGTCTCAGCTCAGCCTCGACCTGCTGGGCTCAATCATC